TATATATATATATATCAATTGAATGAAGTAAAGAAAAAGGAAATTAAAGGTTTTTATTACCTATAAAATTACAATTTTTTAATGTAAAATAATACTTTTTTGGTTTGCCTAAATTATGCAGCTATTAACGATTGTCTTGGTTAAGCGAGTCTAACTTTTCTGGCTTAATATATGGGTTATTATGTTGGAGAATCGCTTATGATTGACTTACAAAATTAGTCTCGATCTTATCTTATGTTCAAGTCAATTTACGAAAACAAGTTAGATTTCTTTGCATGTCCAAAAAAGTTTAATCACGTAGGCCTCAACTTGAGCAACTTGCATACCACCTCGTCTCCATCATTTCATAGTCACCAAATCTAATTGACCAAATGATTACTGATGATCCAAGTCAGTAAATGTAAGAAAGAAACAGCAACACGCAAATCTTTAGATCATTTTCACAAGGCTAAGTAACAATACACACCTTGTCAATCTTGCTACATGAATTGTTGGTGCATCGCAGTGCATTTCAGTTACTCTTGTTCTCAAACTAGTGGACTACGGCACAAATAGTGACTAAATGACCTTTTAATGTGATGCGATACAATACTGCTGTTCCTTTTTTACATCTGAGCAAAAAAGAAAATATGTATCAACGACAGCATGAAGAAATTACATGAAGGTTAGACAACTGCAACATTGGAGAAATTAGCACTCATGCAAGGCTGGACTCGGAGCAGGCCAAAGAAGGACGATTGATCAACGTCAACCATCTCTTCTGGTTTTTCGTCTATTTGGTCTGAATTGGGTAGACTCAACTTGGCATGATTCTGTTCTACGCTTCGTCAGCTTCTTCAAAATGCATGCAATGGCCAGCTGGGTGCCGATGGTAGAGCGGCCTCGTGAAAGGCATACAACGCCACCAAGGAGCAAAAGCCCATTTGCTATCCACTTTTTTGAAGATCTCGACGGTGTCTTCTGCGATAAACCCACTCTACTCTGTCCGCCAAAGACAGTTCCTAATTTCTCTGGAGCTTCTTGCATACTTGTTTCAGCACAGGTCTCCAACTTTGGTGGGACCTGATTAAGCACAAAATATCTGCTTCAGTTAAAAGATTAGGTTATCTCATGATTTCATCAACTTCGAACTTCCATTAAAAAATTGTTTACAGATGCACGAAACAGCACGGCTGCAATTCCCCAACAAAACCCATTTTTGTTGAAGGCACAAATTTTCCCAGAACAAATTGTTTTAATATATTAAACCGTGTGATTAGAAATGCTGTTGAGATGAGCTAGAACATTGGCACAAGCACTAGGGAATAAAAACCACCCCAGAGACTGTTAAACATGAGCCTTCAACTCCTACTTTTCCTAGTCACTCAAGCGCAATGTTGGAATGCATTTTGTTGAAAACAAAAGGAACCCCCTGAATTAAAACAATTGCGAATCATATTTGTCAAAATGAATCATGATTGTAAGCCATTTCATTAGAAGCAACAATATCAAACAATAACCTCAACTTTGATCAAAGATATCAAAGGATAAATTTATTGTCCCACATGTTATGGAGATTCCTAGTTGCAACATAATTTTGGGATTTCAGAGAAACAGAGGGCTAATAACCTGCCCTTTTTAGAAAGTAAAAAGCCATGTTGAACAAAATGGAGATCAGTGAAAAGCTTTTGTTATTCACAGCCAATAACGCGTGATTGACAATGGAACTTGCATAGTAAAGATCAAAACTGTATCTACTTTGCTGCAAAACAGTGCAGATAGCAAAACTAGCTGCACAATATGCCTTTCAAGCTTAGGTTTAGGCTCTCGCCCTTAACATGTTAAGACTAAATGAAAAAAATCTTAAACTGTGAATATCTAATTTCCCTTTTTTTTCCCTTGATACCAAAAAACTACTAAACAGCTTGAAGCTGAAATAATAATGCTGACCTTTTTAATAAGTCTAAGAAGCGTAGGGACCATGGTCAAGTGACTGGGGAAGGATGAATATTCACGCAGTGCACTGTTCATCTTTGACACATAGCTCCATATTCCCTTAGCAAATGCCAGTTTTGCCATCTCAACATTGAGGCCAGCATCTTCTTGATGCACCATAGTTATCTCACATGCATCGATACCAGGAACTGCAATAGAAATGTTCAACCATTCACCAATAGCGCAGAGATAAAAAAAACATAAAAAAGATAAACAGTTGACAAAGAGCAATGTTGATGCAGCACCAGTGTCCTTCAGACATCTCTATAATTGTTACAATCAGACTTATTCATACTGTTTTATCTCAGCCAACTATGAAAAAAAAAACACTTAAGCAAATCAACTGAAAACCTGAATGAGGACAATTCAAAGCCAAACTAGGTTTAAAAACAATGGATTGCTGTTTTCAGGCTCTTTTGATGGGTCTATTGGAGTGCCAACACTGATTTAATATCAATTGGGCAGCGTGTGTTGTGATACAACTGGCATCAAACTAATTTTTCAAGATTGTTCGATACAAAGTTTGACTGTGACAGTATAAGAGAAATTTTTCAGGCACCAATGGTTTGAGATTGGAGATTATCCTTTACTAAATTATAATTATACCTCGGTTTAGTGTCACATTGGAAGTAGACAAAGAACTCTAATGGGTTTATTTTTATTAACTTGGGTTTAAACATTTTGATCCCGTGGTTCACACTCAACAAGTTAATAGGTCAGTTATCCTGTTAAGTCATATCATGATAATTGGTATTATAGTCGACCTAGTATTGAACCATAGTGAAAAGCTCATGTAGTAAATGATTACTCGTGGATAGGGCTAGAGGATACATCATCACATGGAACCACCATTGGGCTAGGCCTTATGTGTACCATGGGTCGGTTGATCTATGACATATTGGATAACATAAACCTAGTCAAAT